AGTTAGTAGATAATCTTAAATATAGCGTCTAAGTTAATAAGATTCTTAGAAGGCTATATTAGTTAGTATTAGTATAAAAGAGCCTAAAATAGGCTAAAATAGACTAAAACTACCTATTCTAAAGCTATTTACTACCTATTAGCCTTATAAAGGCTAATAGAGGGTAATAGTAGCTAAAAGAGAGTAAAATAGGTACTTATAGTAAAGCACTACTTATTTATAGTCTAATACTAGCTATATAGAATAGTTTAGATAATAGAGTCTCTAGATAGTACGCTAGTAACCTTTCTAATTATACTAGTAAAGACAGCGCGCTTCTTCTTATTATTAAGAACTAGAAAAGTATAGCTATAGTAGTTAAACGCGTAAAGCTTATTAAGCTTCTATAACTATAGGTAACTAGTATATAGTATATAACTAATCTTAAGAAGCTTAGGCACGTAGAAGTAGCTTATAGCAATCTAATTATTACTAACTATAGTAGAGTTAAGGCGAAAAGAGCTATTAAGACTTAGAAGAAGGTAATATAGAGTATAATAAGTAGATATAGATAGAAAGAGAGTAAATTAGTATAAAGTGCGCGTTAATAGTCTTAGTTAGAGTACTAGAGTCTAGTTAGTAGTAATTTAGTATAATTTGCGCTAAAAACCTCTAATTTAGACTAAAGCACTCTATTGTACTTTAAAATAGGCTATAATAGATTACTTTAGACTTTCTTAGAATTCTAGTAATAGTAGGTAGAAAGAGGCTAATACTTATAAATATAGAGCGTTTAGAGACTAGAGAATAGAAAAGAAAAATCTAACTAGCTAGAAATACCTATAGTGTATAGGCCTACGCTAGCTCTACTAGCGTAGGTAGTAGCCTCGCGCGCGCCTATACGTAATTTTTTTAGACTACTATTTTTTACGCTAGATTTCTGCCTCTCTAATAGATATAATACGCCTATACTAGCTTGCTATAGGCTGTCTTAGGCTAGAACAGTCTACTATAGACTATAGTTACCTTATCTAGCCTATTAATCTAGCTTTAGAGTAGATTAAGAGCAATCTACTCTAAAAAGAGAGATAATATTAGAACCTAGCTCTAAAGAGCCTAGGCTAACTTAGCACTAGCTATAAATACCTTAGAATTACTATTATAGCTTAGTAGCAATTTGTCTCTAGTCTTTTTAGAATAATATATCTAATTATAGTTTAATATTATATATCTAGTATTTAGCTAACTCTATTATTTAATAGAAGCTATTATAGAGGCTATTATAAACTACTATATTTATACTATACTAAAGGCTATTATAAGCGCTCTAAAGAGCTACTTTACTAGTATAGAGCTATACGCTAGGCCTATTAATATTTTTATTATTTCTATTTCTAATATTACTATCTCTATTATCTCTATTATTTTTATTATGTATATAGCTAGTATAAGACTTTTTATTATTTTCTTTTCTAGCTTTACTTTTAAGAAGCTTATTAGTAAAATATATAAGCTCTTTAGTAGTTATAGTTTTTTACTTATAAGAGAGAGAAACTAGAAAAACTATTCTATTAAAAACTATTCTATTAATAATCTTACTAATAAAATACTACTAATTATCTACTATATTATTGTCTATAACTAAGTATATAAAGTAAAAAAAATAATAAATCTATCTTTCTCTCTAGCTCTATAGAAAGCTATACTCTAGTAAAGAAATACTTTAGCTTAAATACTTTATAAAAGTAATAAAAACTAGAATAGTAAGAATATAGCGTTTATAAGTTACCTTATATAGTAAGATACTATTTATTAGATAGTAGCTATAATAGACTACTATAACTTTTATTAAAACTTAGAGAAATAGTTATTACGTTATAGTTATTAGAGAATAGATACTATAAGGCCTAGTAAGTACTAGTATTTCTATTACTGCTATATTGTCTTACTAAGTAATTAGTATAGTGTATAGTTCTTAACTACCTATAAACTTCTTAGAAGTGTATAAATATATATAGTTATAGTTAAGTATTAGTACTAATAGTAATATACACTAAATGTCTTAAAATCTTAAAATCTTCTAGCTATTCTAAGATAGTCTAGAAGCTAGGCGTCTTTTAATATCTTTTTACTAAACAGAGTTTATAAAATTAGGCACAAGGCACTAAAGTAAAAAGTATAGTATAAATAGTAAAGATATTATTATATTATTATAGTAGCGTAAAGTAGATAGTTAAAGAATATAAGTTTTATTAGTTATATATATAGGCGTTTTATTAAAATTAAATTATATTACTACTATTATTATAAGTAGCTATTATTAGTAATAAGAGCAAAATATATAACACTAAAATTAGTAACTCTAAAACAGGCACAGTAACCCTTAATAATGTACTCGTTAATGATATAGTCATAGTAGCTATGATCTGGATACGGAGGTAGCGGAACACCAGCGAAGTCATCGCAGTAAGGTAGCGAAGGAGGATTCGTGAACGGCCCCGGTGGGCTGATTTGGGCGACGCAATCTTCACAGTCGCAAGACGGAAGCTGAACGCAAGGCTCTCGGTTTTCATTCAGCACACGCTCTCTTCCACAAGACGAGCACGTGCACGAAAACAGACACGACACTACCTCGTTCACGTCGCTCAAGGTCTGTAAGACGAGGCGGACCAAATGGAAGCTGCACGTGCAAAACTCCAGATCGGGCACACAATCGCTGACTTCGCAGACTATCCGGAACAAACAACAGATATCACACGGGCATTGAGTTCGTTCCGGTTGACGAGCGAGGGAAAGTGTGCTCTGATACAGTGGCGGTGGCGGAGAAAGTTGGGTTTCGTCTGCTCCATGCTCTTGTAGTAATTCGGTTATGTCCAGGTTTCCAACGTTTTCGCTGATCTTCAGTGGTGTTGTACCACTCAGGTCTTTGATATTTGCATCAGCACCAGCCGCCAACATACCCAGAATGATCTCCATAGGGACGTCAAAATTGCAGGCTAGATGCAGTGCAGTTTGGCCACAATCGTCTTTGGCATTGAGATTTGCTGAGCCAAGGTAGCGGAGCAGGATTTGGTAAGTTGCTAAGCTTCGTCGATGGATTGCAACATGGAAGGCGGTCTGGCCTCGAATGTTCGTGATTGTCGCATTGGCACCTTTCTTGATCAAGTACTTCGTGATACCAGCTCTATTCCTGTTCGCCGAATAATGCAACGCGGTCTGATTGAACACATCGCGTTGATTGATGATCTGTGGATCCACGAAGAGGGCGTGCTCAATCACATCACGTGCGAGAGAGTCATCGCGGAAGTTGCTGGCGACAAGCATAACGTTGGCTCGATATTTGTCACGTGCCTCAGCCGCGATCAGGCCGGTGACTTCATCTTTCCAGTTTGGACTTTTCTCCCTCAGAAGGAGCAAGTGATATTCGAATGCGTCGTCATCGGCTACAAACGCTTCCGCAAGACTGATGGCAGTAGAAGAGTCTTCTTCGTTCGTGGGTTCGGCGGCCTTTGGTATATGCACGAACCGCAAGTGAGCCGCGTCGTGTTCATGATCGGTACGTTTGCCTGTGCGATCCCTGGCTATGTGTTTCGCTTTCGTTGCCTGCACCTCCGATATGTCGGCGCGAGCTTTATCAAAATTGCTAGTCTTTTCCATACTAGCCCTTGTCGGTCTTGGGTAGCTGTCTTCGGTCAAAGCCGCAGGTGTGGCGCAGAAGGGTACATTTGTATCGTTCCCGACGTTGAGCCATATAGGATGCGACTGACCGACACCTCCCGCGGAGTGATGACCGAGGTTATCCGGTACATGGGGAGGCGTATACGCTGTCTTTTCGATACTTGTGGGAGGTGCCTGGAGCGTTACGTCACTGCCGATGGATGTCGTCGTAGTGTTGTTGATGACGGTAGGTGCATCCGACATGCCGTCACTCAGCACGGCCGTCTGAAAGACCTCATCTTCTGACTGCGAGCCTGCCCAAGATGTTGTGTCACTTCCGTCTCCAGCCACACCCTCGTTTGCACAACATGGACCGCTGTAATGGATTCCTCTGCCTTCCTCCCGTGTTATCATCGTTTGGAGATCTTGAGCTGTGAGTCTCATTTTAGGCATGCTGGCGGTCATGCTGTTAGTCCAACGTAACAAGGGCTGATCGATCGTTGATTCATTCGATAGCTCGGCGATCCAACTCTGGATTGCTTCTGGGTTCTGCCAATAGTTCGTTGAAAGAGTCCCTCTGGTTTGGAAGAATTCAACTTTCGATCGCAGCTGTCTCTTGGTAAGAACAGTCTAGAGGCGTCAGCAATGTCAAAACATACGTACAAGCAACTTTGAACTCACCGCGATCTCCAGATGAATACATCCCAGGGACCACACATCCGAAGCAGTATTACGAGGTTGCAGCATGCCAACCTGAAATAGTGTCAGCAAAGATTCGGGTCATCGTGCGTAGCTGAACTCACTTCGGGTGCGATGTATGCCGGTGTATAGGCTTCGGGTTGGCCCATCGTAGTTTCTCGTTGCGCCTCAGTCCAGTCTAAGGCGAGTCCGAAGTCCGCTATATACACTTGCTGGCCTTTGATCAGGATGTTGGAGGGTTTGAGATCTTTATGGCGGCACTTGTTGTGGTGAAGATAGACCAGTGCGGAGCACAAGCATCCCACAAAGCCTCGAAGGACGACATCGTCTTGTGCAGTCCATGCATCTCGGGCCAGATATTGTTGCAGATCGAGATCAGCTACTGGTTCCATGATGATACCAATGTATTTTCGATCGGTGTATGAACTGACACGTTGCTCATTAGCGGCGCACTGTACCTCGGCTTGCTCAAACTCACCCTAGCAGCTTTACTAGATGATGGTGCGATAGTCGCTTGAGGTTGTGGACCTCATTCTCGAACGACAGCAGCTTCTTGCGATCCTTTGAGAATGTGCCACTTCTTCGATCGATGCGTTTCAGCTGTCACTGATGAGTCAATCAACCAGCAAAAGACGTTCCAAGTCCTTACAGCGTATTCCTTCAAATCAATCCTGCTTCGAGCACGATGGACGATGCTGAAGCCGCCTTTTCCAAGCTGCTCCATGATGACGAAGTAAGATTCTGCACCTTTGTCTGGCGAAAGTCAGCACCTGGGCAGCGAACGGTGTATAGAAGTATAGCTTACCGAGGTGATGATGACGACCTCCTTGTACCAGATCGACTGATCTTGAGCTAAGTACGAACCGTTGTTGCCGAAGAAAGTCTTTCCTGGAAGCAGCGGATTTGAGACTGGGAGTGAGGTCGACTTCAGTGAAAGGGAAGTGAATATCCTTGAATCCTTCGATAATGAGCATATTCATCGCTCGTACTTCGTCGATCATCCGGAGAACGAGATACAACCGTGGCCGTACACTCCAGTCATGCTTCCCAAGCATCGCGAGTAATTCGCCGAGCGCCAGAATAATCTCGTCGTTGTATGGCTTCTCGTTGCCCATACGCTGGGTGGACGCGGTCGATAAAAGTGACGATACTCTCTCCTCGAAGTCTTCAGCATCTAACTGTCCACTAGTCGTAGTCATGTCTACATGACGCGCGACAAATAGCGCTGGTGAGGCCGACTTGTTCGTTTCCGGGTTCAAGGCGTTCATACGCGGGATTGCCGTTGGGATCGGGGTGGCAGGCATGCTTGCAACGCGTTGCTCCACTCTTGGGGTCGTTGGCGTTGACGGTACTTTTGAGGTTGAGGTTTGGTCAATTCGCGGGTCAAACCCTGCAGGCGGTGTTTGGAGGTCCTTGCCAACCCTTCGCGGTGGTACAGGAGGGCGGGTCCTGTCAGCCATAGGAGGTGAGCTCTGCGTCTCCTCGAGTATAGACGTAATCTGGTCGAGTCGCATGGTGGCTTGACGTCGGACTCTAATAGATCTGTGCTGGAACTCTCGCATTTCACTCAGCAGCACTGTCTGCTCTTTATCTCCTGGTGATGCCAGTCGTTCGTTGAGCAATTTCGCTAATTGCTCTAATATCTCCCCCTGTTTTCTGATTTGAGCTCTCATGGCTGCGACATCGGCTGCGACATCAAGAGCTTGAGCTTTCAGAGTTGCGAAGTCAAGAGCATTCCGTTCAACAACCTGCATGTCGTTGCAACTAGCATAACCCGTCAGTAATTGCCTTCATTATTCAAAAAGAGACGACATACGTTGTGATGAACTGAATTGCTAAAAGCATTGAGCTCTTATGATCTTGCAAGTTGCGCTTGATGTGTTGCAGGTCGTCCGAGCGTCTATCAAGCTTGAACTGAAGCACGCCCTGCCTTAGGCGGCCCGTAGCCCCTGAGATATCAAGATCGAAGATGAAATTGCAGAGTCTTTGGGCCTCGCGCTCGCAGCTTTGAAGAGTTCGTTGAAGACATTCTAGCAAGTTGGCCTGCGACGCGCCTTGCACTTCTTCCACCGCAGCGACGAAGTTCGGGGTGCTGAGAACGCAATGTATGTTATCAATCAGGTCGCAAACAGCCTCTAAATCGGCTCGGAGTTCGTCCAGGGTCTGATGAATGCTGCCTCCCTTGGAGTACGCATCTTTCAACTGTTTAACTGCTGTACGGAGAATCTGTACGACCGTCAATGCGAGCCCAACGATGCTGATCGGGTCCGCCATGCGAGGTAATTGAGCATGAAAGATTACAAGGTTTCGATCGAGAGAGTCATCAAGGCCACGCTTCAAGAAAAGGCCTGGTGCACTACTTATCCCGTAATGCACAGCCCCGCAGCCATGCAACGCATCGAGACTGAATCCATAGCCATGTATCTCAAGCCCATTTTTAGGCACGTTTGCAAGGAAGCCAGGCTGAGTGAGTTTATTGGTAAGGAATCAAACTTGACTGCAGATGTGAAGCGCTTCAACGCAAGCGGCGGCAATGTCAAGAAGAGGGGGGGCCGAGACCGAGTGGTAAGGGGGGCTGCTCGCGGAGATGATTGACCAAATAACGCATCCTCTCTTCAGCTCTCTGACATGAAGGCTTGCCAAGAGTTATCGAGACGGACATGCAGGAAGGCTACCGATAAGGAATTGGGGGTCGGCGACAAGGCTGAACGAGAGCCGCCTTCTTGGGGGACAAACGCACCCCCTCATGGACTGGACTTTGCCGCTCCAAGCGGCACACCGAGTTGTTATCATGCTTTCGCAATCAGGACTTGCGAAGAAGACAAGAGTCAGCCGAATGGGATTCTCGGAGCATTTTTAAGCCGCTGGGTTAACGATACCCTTTTGAGTATCTGCCATGTGCACGAAGATGCGTCAAATAGGTTTTCTACGTCGCATACTGAACGCGATGGATTGATTAGTGTCTTGACGTCGGATACCAAATATAATGATTAGTGTCCTCAAGTCATGCTAAGCTCGATGCGGGAGACTTACACGTTCAGATGCATCGGGCCATCTCTACCGAGCCCGGTAGTAGCGAGAAACTGCATGTGAAAGCTTCAGATAATGTGTCGCGTAAGCAGCCACCAAGAGCAGGCCATGGTGTTAGGTGGGCTGTGTAATGATCCGATTGCCCCAAGTTACGAATCCGCTCACACACCCAAACGGAAGGAAGCAAGCGTTACCGTTCTCTCCTCAGCAGGACTATGGATGGGAATACTCGGCCCTCCGAGTCCGTTTCAAGAAGCTCCTGTCATTCTTCTGCAACGTTTATCACATCACTCGACGTCTTCCAATCATGCATTCCAACAAGCAAGTCAAGCCAACAGGCGCTTGCAGTAGCATTTGCAATCCCCGCCTCCACAGCTCCACCACCCCCTCACTTAAGCGTATCAACCAACTCCCTATAAATCTTCTTCAAATCCCTCACATCGCCCTCCAACTCCTCGACCCTCTCCGTCTTCTCGCCCAACATCTCCAACGCCGTCATCTCCCTATTCTCCATCTCGCCCAACCTCTTTTCCAAATCCCCGACCTTCTCCCCCTGTTTCCTCGTCTCATCAACCTCACGCATGAGCTTAACAACTTCTTCGCGGGCTTCGTCGCGCTGGGCAGTCAGACGAGCGAGTTCCTCTTTGTGAGTCGCTTTTTCGGATTCCAAGCGGCGGACTGCGGCGCTCATGCGCTCGACGAGTTGGACGGAGGGGCCGGCGCCGGCGGTGGAGACGCTGATCATGTCGTTTATAGTCCTGTGTGGGGAAGATGTGTTTTCAAAGGGATCGTGGTCGTGGTCGATGGTGTGGATAGACGGTGTTTCCAGGCCGCCGTTGAGGTTGGACATGCTTGATGGAATGGAGTCTTGTCGTTGAGGGGTGCCGAGTTCGGGGGTGCGCACTTTGGTTGCGTTGCTGGATTTGTTGTGGCGGGAGGAAGAGGGGCGGCGCGAGGCTTCGTCGAACATGCGGTCCATGGGGGACATCATGGGCATGTCCATGCCGCTGGATATGGAGCGTGGGTTGGGTCGCCGGCTGTATATGCCTAGTGGATCGGGCGAATGCCGGCGTTGTGCTATTGAAGGTGAGTCTGTTCGTAGATGATGTGAATCGCCTAGCAGAGATGGTGTCTGTATCTCCACCTTCCACTTGTTCTTCTCGTCCTCTAGCCGTTGTTGAAGCTCGACTTCCCACACCTTCTTTTCTCGTTCAAGTTCGGCTCGCGCATCTTGTGCTGCCATTTCTGCTTGTGTGAGCCTCGCTTGTAGCTTCTGAGCTGCGGCACGCTGTTCGGTCAGATCGTGCTCGAATGTGCGGGCTCGTTCGTTGATGCTTTCCAGCTCGTCTTCGAGTCGGCGTGCTTTTGAGTTGACTTCTCTTGCTTTCCGTCGGACATCGGACTCGCGCTTTGCCGTTTCATCACGGTCTTTCTCAAGAGCTGCCATACGAGACGTCAAAGTGGTCTCGATACCCTGCCAGTTCTCGGAAGCCAGCGAGTACTGGGTCTGCAGCGTCTCAATCTGTCGCAGAAGCTTGGCTTGTGAGTCACCAGTCGCCGATGAAGATGCCTCTTCTGTGCGGCTGCGGAGCAATTCGAGCTTAGATTCCAGGTTCTATAGTCATGTCAGTGTATGTATTCCACCAAGAATCATCATGTCTTACAGCAATCTCACCGCGCAACTCAAGCTCGGCGACCTTTGCTTTCTCCTGTTGGCTCTTCGCTTCGTCTCTGGCTGCTTGAAGCTCCCTCTTCGCGCGATCTTCGGCAAGCTTCTTTTCTATTCGGACATTCTCGATATCTTCTTTGAGTGACGCAGTGGCCCTCTTCTCTGCTTCCAGCGCTCCAGATTGGGCTCTCTTCTCAGCATCTTCGGCCCGTGAGAGCGCGTCGTTGAGCTGTTTCCGCAGCTCAGATATTGTGAGCCCAGCCTCCTCGCGCTCCGCTCTGATTGTCTCGATGTCCTTCTCAATTCTACCCACTATCTTCAGCTTTTCTTGCGCAGACTTCTCTGCCGCCTCTGCGCGCCGTGCTCTTTCCGACTGCTCAGTGATGCTCTTTTCTGCCTTTGTCAGCCGCTGTTTGAGAGTCGCAATCTCCTTGTCCTGATCCATTGTCTTCGCGCGCATCTTCTTGATAGTGGTCAGATGCTTCATTTCCGTCTTTGAGAGTTTCTGCCCCTCTTCCATGAGCGCAGCTATCTGTGCATCCTTGTCGGCCAGCTTTCTGTCCGCCGGGGTCGCTTCCGAGTCGGACTTGGCGGCCTTTGCAGAGGCAGCAAGCTGCTCGGAGAGGTATGTGAGCTTCGACTGCAAAGCATCGATTCGCTCTAGGTGAGAGTTGAGTTCCTCGCGATTGTCTTGCATCGTCTCCTCGTATGTCTTCTGCAACAGCGATAGCTCAGCCTGCACTTCTTCGGGGTCTTTGGTCTCGGTAGACAGCGTTGGGGGGAGTAGGTCGATTGAAGGTCGCGACGGGTCGCTGTCGAAGGACTGGCGGGGAGACGAGGCTTGCGGGGTGACGATGGAGGGTATCGACGGCATGGACATGGTGGGAACGGGCGTCGAGGTCGGTTGCTCGGCTACTAGAGGTGTGGGCGGTGGTGAAGTCGCTGGAGGAGAGACTATGGGCGCAGGTGCCTCTATGGCGGGTTGTGGAGGTTCCTCGACCTTGCTTTCATCTGGCTTGGGCGCCTCGTCTTCCTTCACTGTCGCAGCTTCTTCTTTCACTGGCACGGCCTCCGTCGCTGGCTCAGGCGCTTTCGAGTCTATGCTTGCTCTTGGCGATGCGGTGGCTGCATTCACGGCTGGACTCGCGGGTCGTGATCCAAGGTCCGACGAGGTTCTTGCTTCAGATCCCTTGTTCACGGCCTTGGCTAGGCGGTCTTGTAGTCGGGAATTGGGTCGGCTTCGTGACGAGGTGCGCGAGATGCCTGTGTCGTTAGCCCTCTGAAAGCTGGTAACAGCAAGTGTCTCCAAGGCCACCCACCTGGTTCGACCGCAAGCTTCTTGTCCGTCGCTGCCTTTTCTGTCGTGTCTGATTTGGCGCCTGCCTCTGTGCCCGCCGGCTTGGTGGGTGTTGTGCCATCTTCGGCCAGGATGCCGTCGAGGCGCGACTCCAGGCCCGAGATGGCGCTGTTCCACCAGTTCTTCCCGCTCATCGTTCCTCTACAGCTGTACGTGTCCTGGCTCTATTCGTCGTCTACGACGCTTCGCTAGCGTTCAGCGTGCACTCGTTCGGCGCTTGTGTCTGTTCATAGCTCAATTGCGCGGGAGGCCAGGCTGGTCTGTTGGCGGTCGTACGCGATCAGTAGGGTTCGCGGGGTGTCACAGCAATGACCATATGGTGAATGTCGTAGGGTGGATGTTGTCGCAGCTAGATCAGCTCGTATCATCGGAAGGCGGCCCCAATCGCATGCGTGTCCTCTTGCGCCCAAGGTTCCTGCCGCGCAAGCCCTCGAGATGACGGGCGCGGTTGCAGCATGCCACGCGCACGCCGATTGGCCGAGCAAATGTTCCGCAACTCCGCTCTCTGCCCTGACGCAATTCCCACCACCAAGACCTAATGCAGGGGACTTGGGTCCCGGCCATGACTTCCGCATGACGATCGGCGTATGGATATCTTCACTTTTCGATGTCGTCTACATGCCATATGCTTTTTGGGCATGCGTTTCCAGATGCAACATGCATCTCACGATGACTGCTTCGATTGAACTAGCCTCTAGTGGCATCGCGCCTGCCGTCTCTGACGACAGCAGTATTCTTTCTTTAGTTCTGTTTGCTGCCTTCATATAGTTCAGAGGTACCTTGATTTCTTCCGCGTATCCCAACACACTCAATCAACTCAATCAATACCACCAAGATGCCTCTCGCAGTAAGTTGTTCCCAGTTATCTCTCGTTTCCTTGCCATCTAAACTGTGTCTCAATGTCCATCATCCCATCGTTACCAACCAGTACCGTCAATGTACAGATTTGAGGCTTTGTAATGCATACTCTTGACTTGGGTACTTTCCACGTATTGTCCCAAATCTTGTTCAATGTTGGCTCTTATCTAGAACAACTTGTGTTCCCCAACATCTCGCCACAGCTGCACACCGCTCAAGAGAGTACTCGCGAGTCGATATGTTCTGCTCTATACCAACCCGACTATAAATCACTCATACTAACACCCCCCCAGGCAGTCGGACAAATGCGCTCCCAGGCCTCCATGGCCGACAACCTCAAACAAGCCCAATCCCTCTGCCGCAAAGCCCACGAAGCAGGCGCCGCCGCCCTCTTCCTGCCCGAAGTACGCCACCACCTCCCAGCCAAACATCCCTATCCCATGAACTAACCCATCCCAGGCAGCAGACTACCTAACCACCTCCGGCGGTCTCAAACTCTGCAAATCCGTCCAAGACTCCGAATTCGTCCAAGGGCTCTGCAAATCCGCCCAGGAATACAGTCTCCCCATCTCCGTCGGCATCCACGAACCGACAGACGATGGAAAAAAGGTCAAGAACACATTAATCTGGATCACCGCCACAGGAGAAATAAAATACCGCTACCAAAAACTCCACCTCTTCGACATGGACGTAAAAGACGGCCCGCAAATGCAAGAATCCGCAGGCGTAGAACGCGGCGTCCACCTCGGCGATCCCTTCTCCTCCCCCATCGGTAAACTAGGCATGCAAATCTGCTTCGACCTGCGCTTCCCCGAACCCGGTCTCGCGCTGCGCGCGCGAGGCGCAGAAGTCCTGTTATACCCCGCCGCCTTCACGACGCCGACTGGAAAAGCAGGACATTGGGAGATTCTCATCAGGGCGCGTGCGATTGAGACGCAGAGTTATATTATCGCTGCGGCGCAGGTGGGTGTGCATGATGAGGAGGGGAAGAGGAGGAGTTGGGGACATAGTATGATTGTGGATCCGTGGGGGAAGATTGTGGCGGAGTTGGGGGGTGATGAGGGGGAGGGGGGGAGTTGGAAGGATGAGGGTGAGATTGCGTGTGCGGAGATTGATGTGGAGTTTGTGAGGAGTATGAGGAATGATTCGCCGTTGAAGAGGAGGACGGATGTTTATAATGAGTTGGTTTAGGAGCTGGGAGGTCCGCGTAGAGGAGAAATGGATCATGAGGTCTTGGAAGTGTTCATATTGCATGATGAAGAGTAACCAAAATCTAGAAGGTCTACTAGGAATGCCATTGTACATACCGCTCAAGTCCAGTCCAATCCAGAAGACGACTCGAACACCCCATCCTACCGACCATCAACGTCCTCCACATCCCGTCCCTCTAGTAACCTCGCCTTCCCCGCTAAACTCAAATACGCCAACTCATGCTCCGCACTCTCAAGCTGCCGCTCAACCCTCGGCCTCACATCCCCCAACTCACACCCCATACACTCCGCCAACCTCTCCAACATCGTCGTAAACAAACTCCTCCCACTCCCCTCCTCCCTCTGCGGCCCCTGCGTCCTAGGCGGTTCAAACTCGCCCTTCGCCGTCCCCCAACAAGGCCAGTCCCAATCATGCGTGCCATGATCATGGTAGAAGTTCAGTAGAGTAGTCTCTGCATTCGAGGTATCGTGGTGCAGTAGCGTGTCTGAGATGAACTCCGGACCGAGACACAGCGCAGCTTCCGCGAAACAAAACTCGAGTTCGCTGCGTAGTTCGACTTGGTTTGCGTCCATGAAGCGGCCGTAGGTGCGTTGGTTTATCCAGCCTGAGCCGTGGTAGCGGGCGGAGAGGGTGGCGTGGTGGAGGACGAGGTAGATTGCGGTTAGGGGGTCGCGGGGGAGCGATTTGATGTAGGTTAAGCGGTCTGCGTGGTCTTCTGAGGGGGAGGTTAGCTGGGGCTGTGCTAAAGAGGGGTCGGCGGGTAGACTGACCGATTGATGTCAGGCGGTATAATAGCAGTAGTCCAGCATTTGCGAGGGGGACGTTGTGTTGTAAGACCGCGTTGAAGTTGTGCTCAGAGCAGAGGGCGTCCATAACGTCATCGACAATATCGTAGTTGTGAACGCAATCAGCCAACCAGTCGACGTTGAGGCGATCATCTCCACACTTGAAGTCAGTCTCTGCGTGCCGGAGCTCTTTCTTCATGAAGCTGCCAGTGATTGATCTTTCGTAGTTCTTGAAAATGGCACGAAGTCTGGGATGTGCGCTCCGGATAGTGGTAATGAGCGAGCCATCGTTGAAAGGCAGGTGCTGGATAGTCTTAAGGACCAGCTCTGGAGGGATTCTCGGGGATATGAGAAAGTTCAGGTACGTCGATGGATCGGAGAAGGTAGCCATGCTGCTGTACTATGGGTGTATGACGTGCTGAATAAGAGAGTGATTGTGGATTGTTGTATGCTGAGGAGGGGAGGTAGGAAACCCAGAGTTGATCGATGCGGTCGCGACTTATACTTCTGGGGTAGCTGCAGTCCAGACTGTACTTTCTGTATACGTGTTTGAGGGAGTAAACGGCGCGGATTCAGCCTCGGTTCATCGTCCCCACGCCAGCTATATAGTCAAACCGTGAAGACCATGATGGGTGACAATTAGCACCATGATGGCGAATCATCCTCAGGATGAGCACGCGTCAGGAGCAGAGTAACGTCACCACGTGGAGTTGCGATTGCGCAGTCTGAAAAGAGTTTGTCGCGTGCTTCACAGTTGAGCTGATAACTGATGCGATTGCCTGTTCGCATCCGTGCGTGTGCAGACGCTGGGATTCGAGGCATGGAATGTAGACTGATCGCTGCGGACAGGCGCTAGGTCAGGCCCCGCTGATGACGAGCCGATGGCAGCGTGGGGGCTAATGTAGGTGATGGGTGCGATTGCGCAATAGGTCCGAAGTGCAGAACACGCGGGGTGCGAGGGGCTGCGAGAGAAAGGCATGTCGAGGTCGGGAGTAGTCATCTCGAGCTCGTGCCACCCCACCGACCAGGCAACGATCCGCATGGCATAAAGCATGAGAGCAATTCGCAGATAGTAGCTCAATTGTGAATGTGTTCATAGATATGACAGCCTCAATGCGCCGTGACCCTGGGTATCGTGTAGACTCCGCAAATGCAACATTACATGTCGTGAGATAGCTTCCTACTGCAGTTCTATACCTTCCCGCTCAGCTGCCTGCAGTATGAAGCTCCTAGTCTTCGCATCTGGCGCGAGGTCCAGCGCAACATGGCCGTCTGTGTCCTTCTTGTCGTGTTCTGCGCCCATGGTGAGCAGCAGCAGCGCCGCGTCTCCGTGCCCCTCGCTCATCGCATGGTGCAGCGCTGTCATGCCATCCATGTCCGTCGCGTTCAAAGGGCTCTTTGCATCTAACAATGCCTTCATCATCGGCACGCTACCTACCGCCGCTGCGCGGTGCAGTGGTAGCTGACCCCTCTTGTCTTTTATCCGTGCTGACGCTGGCGGCTTCTGTGCGAGCAATGTACGTGCGATATCGAGGTTTACTTTCGACGCGCAAAAATGTAGGGCGGTCTGGCCGTTGTTGTTCTTCGCGTTCACGTCGGCGTCTTTAGAGAGTAGCAGGTCTACTATTGGCTCTGCGTCTTTCCGCGAGCATGCCATCATGAGTGGCGTCCAGCCCGAGCCATCGGTGACATCGGGATCGAACGATTTGCTTTGTACGAGTGTTTGAACGATAGCGAGGTGATTGTAGGATACGGCCCAGTGTATTGGGAGGCGGTCGTCTGGGTCGCGGAGGTTTGCGAGCTTGGGGTTCGCGGCGAGGAGGGAGTCGACTCGGGATGCTGGGGACTGTTAGGCTTGGGCTCATAGATATGAGGGAGTGATGCGCACTTTGACCCTCCCGACAGGCCTCGTGGATGGCGTACTTGGCCTTGTATTCCTCCATGGTGTTGCGGATGATGGCTAACGTTGACGCGTGTGTTGGGCAGTTCGCAGCTCAGCTCCTAGAAAGTTAACCCCGCTATGGCCGAGGCGTGGAGATCGCCGTGGCGTGACGTAATCATTTGGCTACTTCCATCCTCAGAACGCGTCTCGTCAACGAAACTCCTGACATTATATGCCCCATTCATGTTTCGAAGGCGTACGATCTTTAGCGATGCCTTGGTTCTATCGAATTTGCTACGACCAAGTTGTCTGCTATAATGCCACATTTCGGCATTGGATAGTAGGAAGACCCGCGTGTCCCGAATGCATCATCTCCGTCTCAAATGTCTCTCCATTTTATCGGCCTAGCACCAAACGTCCGCACACTATAGACCATCTGCTTCCGTCTGGAGAGAATGCTTTTCCCTCTGCACGCTGGAAAGAGTCTTTGCTAAACCTCCAAGTAATCCCCTTACATCCCTCGCTACTCAGAAAGCCGGCACTGACTTTGTCCCAGGACTTTTCGAGGACTGACAGGGTGATCGGAAGACTGGACGGGTAGACGCCACCCAGTGTCAGATGCTCCATGTTTCCAGCGAGGCAGGCAATCATCGCGAGCTGTCCGTCGATCATAGGCTCTCCTAGATGCATCCGATCAAGCCATTGCCTGGCTCGACTTCTTGACGATGATGGAATAACTTCCCTGATGACCCGCTCGTACTCATTGATTTTACTCTGGAAGCGGGAGAAGAAGACAGCGTCGAAAGCCAACGTAAACTGTGGTATCCCGTTTGTGGTTATAGTGAAGGAATGAATGTGCTTTGCGAGATCTTGACGATCAACAAGCGTGTCGAATAACAACATCAAGTCTATGCATTGCTTGGTCGAGAAATTGAGCTCTCGGTAGAGCTGTGGTTCTGCAAGCGATCGATAGTACTTTGATGTCATCGAAAGAGCCGATGCTTCCTTTCCGACTAGGTGCTGGATGATCTTTTCGTCTAGCTCGGTTGAGAGACGGTCCATAGTGGGCGAGTAAGGTAGGGCCTGAGCCATTGATTTTTTGTGTTGATGATACTTCTCACCCGAGAGCACCTGGTTGTATGGGTGTAGTATTGACTTCGAAAGTCGTGGGTGGCTTATTGGCGATGAGTCGCGAGAACGAGTAGTATGACTCGCTTGCGCGCCGGCGGTGTATGAGGAAGAACTCTAAGTTTTCGAAGAGTTGGTCAAAGGTGGTTTGTGAGAGGACCTGCGCGCTGCAAATGGAAGGAGCGAAAGTGGAAGGGGCACACCTGCTGTGTCACATGCACGGACCTTTCTATACGCGCTTTTGTCGTCACCTACTTAGTCGCTCGAACAGGTTCTCGGGTGAGAAGCACTGCGCCTCTCGAATAAGATCATTAAATATTAATGGTAGGTAGCACTAAGATCTTATCTTTGGCTATCGGCAGAAGTCCGGCACCGTCTCAACCAAACCTTGGAAGTTGACCTCGGTCACGTGCCTTCAGATGCCTGGAGATGCCTGGAGGAATGGAAAGAGTTATATGTTCGGGTTCAGAGCCTCTGAACTTCCTTTGCACTTCAATTCGCCACTCATTACATTAATATATACTGACTTATATTGCGCCTCTCGGGTGTAGCTTCAGGAAAGCGTTTTTCGACATCACCTCTCAACACTTCCTAGCCGCCTCTCGAACGTTTTCACCATCAACTACAATGTCGCTCTCGAAACTTTCGACTGAAATCGATGAGATCATCATACAGTACCTCCCGCAGCACGCGCGTCACAGTCTGACGCTTACAAGCAAGTCCTATCACAAAGTGGCGAACCCATATCTGTACAGGAATATCCGAGTACGCGAGTCAGATGCACTCTCCGTAGCACGTTTCTTATTGAGCCTACTCGGACGTACGGAACTTCAGCAGTATATCCAGAGCTTCGACTTGATCTCAGCTAGCAAAAGAAGGGCATTAGACGCACCGCATCTGGGTGACGACGATCCGAATATTGAAGCACGTCGCAAAACTATCGAGAACATCAACCAGGATCTATTCAGCAAATCCTTGCATATATGGAAGGCCATAGAAAGGTTCGCATACCACCTGGGCGGCCTTACGTTTGCGAGAAATTGGTACTTTCGTGTCCTTGAGGCAACCAAGTCCATAGATGGTACGATTGGGCTCATACTTTGCCTTGCTACCAATCTGGAAAGCCTACAACTCATGGACTTGGGGGACGGGATAACGGAAGCTGTCTGCCGGGCACAATGGCAAGAGTGTATCACATGGGCATCCTCCGCAGTTTGGCCGCTACGCAAGCTGAAAAGCCTGGTGATAGCACTCGAGTTGGGTGCAGCCATCCCGGTATTAACACCTGTGGAAACCCTGAAGGCCAGCGGTCGAGGCTGGCTCCACAGCTTCGAGTACCCATGCGAAGGTTCTGACAAAATGAGGACCTTGCGGAGCCTGGAACTACGAGACATCGCTATGAGGGCAGATCATCTCGATTGCATGATATCATTACCTGAACTGGGAGGCGTACATCATCTGAGAATGGGAAATGTCCGCATCGAGGAACGCGCGGGATACGACTACGAGCGATTAAGCGACCTATTGCAACTCTTTCTCCCATCACTCAGAACTTTCGAATGGACCGGAGAAATTAAGAGACGTCGTTATCAAACGTATATCCCATTCGGCAGCTTCACAGGCTTCAAACAACTAGAAGAGCTCGTCCTTGGCTTCGAATACATACGACCAAACGATGACAACATCAACGATCCACCCGCGCATCTTCTCGACCCTCCGTACTACTTTCCAATAAGTCTGGCGACTCTGAAGATCACAGAGGTTCCCCAAGGTCTTCTTCACAACCTACAGGAGACATGCGAAGAGTCTCCGTTGGACAACTTCATCCTCAAAACGGCCGTATCTCGCGAGCTCTCGAATTTCGACCTGTTTGTTACTTCGACGGGAGATGTTGCTTCGGAGTACGCGGAGCTATCGAATACCTTCCTACCCAAACTTATTGCTAGCTTGGATAACGTTGGCACTTCGTTGCGATTCCACCGACAGAGACAAGGACGGGATTCAGAACTGCTATATCACCCAGATCACGCAGCTGTATGAGCGTAGCTGAGCACGTCAACTGGGTGTGTAACTCGGACAATACTGAATGCTGGAGAGGATCGGGAAGGGTCGGGCTGACAGAGGTGCGAGGTGGAAGTCGTGAGAATTGGCTAGTAAGACGGTAGATTGGATGAGGCCCCAGACAAAGTGCACGACGTGTGAAAAGTGGTGCTTTGCTGAGTAGACCTTTGGTGGGAACTTTGAAGTATGGAGGCTGAAGACTGGAGTCTGGAGTATGCTGCAATCAGGCTAGAAGAAATCGACATCTCATTCACAGCATCAACAGATGCATGTTAAAGCTTGTCAGATATTGGTTTCAATACGCATCCCATCATTTCGTTGCTAATATCTACTTAAGTCCCAAGAGCATGTCGCATTTACAGCTTCCTGTAATCACAGGCCTTAGCTTTCTAATAGCTGTGCAGGTAGTCCCCCACGAAGCACCTAGCGACCATATCAACACCTTGGACCGCGTCACCGGCAGGGTCAATACCGAGTAAACCTTTTAAGTCAAGCGGCTCAACAAACTTCTTTCCCTTTGCGCCAAGCGCAGTGATAGTGGGTTCAACGAAACGATGCTGTCGTCTGTCAGTAAACCTCCACACCCTTGTTGTTTCAATGACCAGTCGGGACCAGACACAAGCCCCAGCCTGAGCCAAAGGCGCATATTTTGCTTTCCCTCAAGTTAAACCACAGCTCACTAACCTGGTAGGGCCAATTGTTCATGTTGTGAAAGACCAAGAACCGTTTGGTCTGTTCTTGATTCTGGCCGTATTGGAACGACTCATCGATCCTGAAAGTGTAATCTCCTCCGTCTATCTTCTTCGCTTTCAAGTCGTCGAGCTTGTCGGTTTGGACGTAGATGACACCGTCAGATTCACCTATTCACAGCCTGTTAGCTTTAGAATGTCGTGTGGAAGAAGGGATTCACGTACCACCGGACTTGACGGTATAGTTGCAGACGTAGTAGTCTTGTTGGCGACCTGATAGCCTCTGACTCCATTCCACAGTGATTGTGCTGCTCTTCTCGCCACCGAGGAGCTCGGCAGGGACGTGGATTGTGTTACCTTTTTGGACGAGGTAAGGCATGTTGGAAAGATGTTGTTTGAGTGTGATGAGAAGTAGAAGCTTTTGGAAGTTATTGCTGGAGGCTGATGGCTAACAAGTAGATGAATGACGGGCGTCTTTATACTGCTCAGGTTCAGCTCTCATGCGGTGATGTGACACTGTGTTGGGCATAGATCTATGCAACCAGTCCTATCATGACAGTCCTTTCGCGACTTTACCAGCCACCATGGCGTGTTTTGCACATGGCTTGCTCTAGATCATTAACACCAGCCAACTTGGACTTGAAGCGCTTGAATAGCTGTCGTGAAGCAGTCTAGCGCCATGAGCCATCGTGGTGAATATGCAGCCAGGTGTGCAGACTTCGGTCATGTCCAGACGAAAGAGTGATGAAGCGACACCAAGTGCGCTGAATGCGCGTCGGCAGCTGAACGAGATGATTATCGGTACTTCCTAATCGGCCAGACCCCAGGTGACGGCGGCGGGACGGGCCAGCATCCTCACCATCTGACAGGTCCACATCGTGACTTCCAGACTCACACTTTGTACGCGAGAACACGCTTTCGCGTGTGCCCTTGCATACATTGCCGAAGTCGTTACTGTTTATCTGCTAGCGCTGCGTGGCCCTCCACGTTCTCGGGCACCCCGCCTTCTCGGCCACCAAATGGACCCCGGAGGCTTTCCAGCCTCGAGCTGAGAGCGCCACTTTTGAGCATCGCGCAAACAACATACACGCTATGAGGTTCTCGTCGCACGACTTATGCGCGAAGACATGTGCGCACATCACAGAAGCGGCCAAGCTATTGCGAAAGCGATTGCATCTCGCTTCAGTCGTCCGGATGTGGAAACGCATCGTTGTTCGTTGACTTCTTTGATCATTGTGGCTTTCACGTAGCTGCCGCATCCTCTTGTTCGTAGATCGGAAAAACACCGAGCTGGAGGTTAGCCTCGAAGTTGGCGCAGCTTGAGCGAGAAGTCGTTGGTGATTGGGAAGTAAGAGAACATCGCAGCCTCGGCAAGGGCATGCCCAGGTGAGCAGCGCGTGAAAATCGAGCTAACCAAAAACGCGACATTACGTGAACGCGACTTCTTCGCTGCAGAAGAGAGCACAGTAAGCGCGTCTGACTCATACTGCTGCCTGATTTCCCCCCCTGACTCTTAAGGTCAACAATCCCCGTCTTAGGCGCAATACGTTTCTCGTCTTGTCTTCCAGTCATGGACGAGTTTCCGAATGAGTTGCTCCTCCAAATCTTCAGTCTCCTGCACACGCCGATAACATGCTTCTCCTCACCGCGTGTACCCGCTCCTTCGCGAGACCTCCTGGCCTTGTGTCGCGTCTGCCGAGTATTCCGCGATGTTGCGGGATCGCTCATCTACGAATCCATTGAGCGGGCAGGCGACATGGATAGCCAGGCTTATCGCCAGTTACCACGTACTCTGCTCAAGAACTTGGAGCTGTGCCGGTACATCAAGAATCTGAGACTGAAGATGGAGGACGGTTTCGAGGTAGGAGATTTTTGGGCGGGGCATGACTTGCTACCGACGAGCGAACACAAGGACGAGGGCGATAAGGAGCGAGTCATTGACGACGCAAGATGTATCCGCTATCAAAGGAGGCATCGATGCGACGTCCCAGGAAGTAGTGAACCCGCCGTTGGCGAAACAGTGAACGAAATGCCAGATCATAACTCAGAGCCATATGGGTGGCTCAGCAAACTCATCTCGGCCATGGACAGCAGTCAAGCTCACGCTGATGATCCCGATCTTTTTGAGCGCGCTGTCCTAGGAGAGGACGTACTACTAACGCCGTGTGTTCTCTCTGCGTCTAACTTGGAGCGTCTTTGGATTCGCTTACCCAGACTGCAACTGGACGGAAGTCACACCAGCTTCCTGTTCAACAGTCTGGCTCACAGTGCTTATGAGGGCGGATTCGAAAGGCTCAGAGTTCTTCATCTTGACATTCACCAGAACGGTCTCGAATGGCCAGTCCGTAACGCGCTACCTTTCTTCCTGCTGCCAAACCTAACCGATCTGACCCTCGGGAATTGCGGTGAGACTAATCATGAATCACGTTGGAGTGTCGGGCCTGATAACAACGATTCCACGTTCATGGGACAGCCTTGGACATGGCCTGTTCGCGATTCCCCCATCACCCGACTGACGTTACTGTCCCCTCGTTTCAGCGGTACCATAGTCGCAAAGATGATCCTTGCCTGCAGGGCGGTCACTGAATTTGAGGTGGTCTTGCCGTACCACGATCCACCCAGCGACCCCGAGTTCTATGAACATGTCGGCATAGCCCTCGCAGAACATGCTGACACACTGGTCAAGTTGGCAATTGGGGATCAACTAGCAGCGGTTGAACGCAGTCAACCCAATCGACTAGGCATGTTCAGCGAGGGTACCCGCTTGAGTTCACTCACCTCTCTGAGGTTGAACCCCAACGTTCTTCTCCCCTACGAAGGAGGGCGCTGGCGACCGCAGTTGCCAAATTCGGCTCTTTCGAATACTCTACCAAACTCGATCGAGCATTTGTGGCTCGACCTACCCTACAGACCGTGGAATACGGACATGAGGCCCTACTTTCTGGGACTGTACGAGGCTCACAGAAACGGGAGCTTTCCTCAGTTGAGAAGCATCTACATCCATTGGCAACAACGGATTACTTACGATTGGGGTATCATCACCCATTACATCAAAGACCTGATGTACATGCGTGAGGACGCAGTAGGCATCGCTTTCGAGTTCTGCGTGAGGATCGCCTGCAGAACACCTGGTAAGATCAAGCTCATCATCAGTCTGCACCAGAGGAGAATGCTAAATGAAGACAGAAATTGCGGATCTTGGGCTTGAAGAAATTGCGTGTACACGAATCGCGAGTTCATCACAACCGCTGGATTACAGCAGGAGGTATGATGTTGATCATCCAGATGGGAAGCGATACTACGTTGAAGGAAGTACGTGCGAAACACCCCACAAATCGGAAGTGGAGATGCAAGACGACTTGGACCACGGATATTGGATAGGCACATTTCCGAAAGAGGTCCCTCAGCTCCCTCCGCGGCACAATTGGGCGCTGAGTGGGGGGTGTCCTTAGACATAGGCCGATCATGATTACACGAATCTCCTTTCTAAATTCCTACAGCAACATACACAAGACCAACAACAACCAACAGTCCCCAAGAAACACTCATTCCCATCGCACCGCTCTCAATCTCAGGCGTACCGACTTCTTTCACGTCATCGATCTTGCACACGGTTTTGCATCCCTTCTCCGCTCTCTTTCTTCCAAACAAATTGGTTATATCCCTCTTGTTCTCCTGGCTTTTTCCTTCATACGGTCCACTGGTGTTGAACGTCATCTCGATCCACTGAATGTGGAACTCGGCACTATCGCCCACATCCATCTCGCCACTCCACTCTCCACCATCGCCCCACATGTTCAGGACCAGAAAACTCTGCTCGCGGGGGACGGAGTATGTGTTTGCGGCGACTTGCTTCTGGTTGAGGTACCAGTAGCTGTTCTTAGGCAACCAGTCGATGCGATGGGTTTGCCATTCGTCCCAGCGGGGGAGGTCGGTGGGGCCAACGGACGCAGCAGCGACTTCGTTGCCATCCTCGCCTACGGAAGGCTGGTTCGTGTAGCGAATCTGGTCTTTAGGATCGTCGGTCAAAATCTCGATATCGGACTCGTTATCGTCGTCGAAGAACGTGAAGAATCCCGCTACCGCACCCTTGGCACCCTGAACACGACCATACATGCGCATCGAAACGTGCATGAGGTTCTTCTGCTGGTTCTCAATCTCTCCAGCTGTCTGGTAGTCATCCAGACGCGATGTTCGTAGTGCGAGGTATGATGTGGAGTCTTCTTCACCGAGGAAGATGTTCGCGAAGGAGTTGTTCATCGGTACGGGGAAGTCTTCGGTGGCGGGCTTGGTCCAGTTCTGGATGCCCCAATCGTAGTTCCAGGCATCGCTGTTGAACAGATCTGGCTGCCATGTGTTCGCCATGCCCGCGATCTGACTGTCGTTGAGAAGCGGTGGTGACTCGCTCATTGCGCCTGGGAGGTTTCGGAAGTCGTAGAAACGGTAGTATTGGAAGTACTCTGGCGTTTGCGAGTCCTTGCCGGATTGGACGACATAGCAGTCGCAGTCTGGGTTGTTGTCCTTCGGTGTTTCGCTCATGGAGCTGGTATACGGGTTGGCAGCGAGCGCAGACTGGGCGAGTAGTGCCGTAAGAGGCAGGAGCAAGGCTCCTAGTGGCGGAAGGTATGACATGGCGTTCGGTATGCTTCGACTTTCGTATCGTAGACGTAGTGACAGTATCCGAATAATTAAACAAGGATATGAATATGTAAAAGGACCACGATTGATCGACGGCTAGTAAACGTGAAGAGAATAGCGAATGAGTGTCACCTAGCCATCAGCAATGAACAAGAAGGAGAAAGAAACGTGAAAGCGCTCAACAATGCTGCAACAAAACTCGACGATGCAAAGAGACGATACCTAAAACCAAGAGAGTCAGCGCAAACGCGGGCTCCGCAAGCTCATATACTAAAAACGTGCAGTAAAGCCGCTCGCTACTCCGCTTACACGGCACCACCAGTCAGGACAGTCTCGAACACCGCCCACAAGTCGTGCTTTTTTCTCTCTAAACAGGCGCGAAGCTTGTCCTAGCTACGCTCGCTAAAGTATGTCTAAGCCCAGAAAAACCGCGCGCTCGAACTGGAAGCAAAGGCACTAAGGCAAGCAAGCTGGGCGGCAGAGGCAGCAAAGAAAAAGAGGGATATACGAAACGAAACGCGCGACACATCACACCAACGCACGCCATTGTTGGCGGTGGTGGTGCTGCACTCAGCCACACTGCTTCTGGCCTTCTGGACCGTAACGGACAGGGGGTTAGGGGGTCGTGTAATGTTTGCAGCGCATTCCTATAGGTGGCGCAGGGGGAAGGTTGTGATCCGCCCCTGGTTTAGGCTGGTTCGGGGGTCTCGGTAGCCGTGATCCGTGATGTGCCAGCGGGAGTTTCGACGTAGGCGCCAAGCTTGATGTGGCTTGACCGTCCGACTTTCTGGACGACCCGGAATCGTCTCGTGGCGTTGAGGGTGCTGCGAAATTCGCAATCTTGTGGAGCCCTCTCCTAGTCAGTAGGGTGAAGAAAGTCTTTGCAAATAAATGCCCGTTCAATCGAGGGGTGAAGAGATTGTTGGCTTTGTAAAGTTGTAGCCCGTCATCACGAAACATGACAGGGTTTATGGGTCACCAGCCACATCCCCACATGGCCGGGCGCTAACCAATGCACCTAAGTCTCAAAATAGCCCCGATTCAATATTTCTGAGATGCGGCGCCAACGACGAATACGTCCTGCTGAGACGGCCATACGAGCACGTTTTCGCGTCGCTGTTTGTCGCGAACTCGTATCCTTTTCGCTGGCGCGGGGTCTGGAGAATGCCCAGGTATGGTGATCTACTTATTCCTGGTGTTGAGGGGCAGGTGCAGTTGACATGCTCACGACGGTTTTGATGCTCTTTGTTGGTGTTGCTGAGCCGGCTATAGTAACGGCAACGATATTGCGATCAATATATCCATCGGCCAGGCCCCTGAAAAATTGACCGGCTTGTATAGACAAGCATTGCTTCGGTGTACGACGCGGGGCGCCACAACTTGGCAGCTCAACGACTCCTTTTGATCTTATCACAAGTCACGCGCGAGTAGGCCGGTGATTCGGAGGCGCAGCATGCATGAGAAGCACCGTCGGGTTCGAGGTGGTCGGGGCCATGCCGAGTATCTGGACAACAGGCCTTTCAATATGCTCAACCTTAGCTCAGCATGTTCGGCACTACGTTATATCATGTTGGCTGACAAAAGCTTCTACAGCAATCCCTAGAGCTCATTCTCGTGGTATTCACCCCACTACTCGATGTTAACATATATGGAACAGCGCGTCTAGCATTAGATCCTACAGCCGATACAATGTGTACCTGCCACCTTCACATTCCGATCGAAGAGACCGGATCTCACGCAATATCGACGAGCAAACTCGATGCCGCGCAAGACTACGATGTCGTCGATTGTCCATTGAACAAGCTCTCAGTGAGCAATCGCGCTTGATCACCTGAACTTGATAGTGTGATGAGGCCAAATAGCTCTTTCCCTTTGCTACACGACCCACAAACATGCCTTCCCTGGCTTAAATTAGGAACTTACGCCGCCCGCTCTTTCTTGTCTTCAGACATATCTACATCAATCGTCACTTCACGATGCAATACAATATGAGGTGGTATAACGATTTACCACCAGAGCTGCACCACAACATCTATGAGCGATTGCCAAGCAAGAAGCTCCTTGAGATGTTGGGAATGTCCAGGCGTTACCGCGACATAGCGGAGAAGGTCCTCTACAAGGAGCTCGTCTTCGATCGAGATCATTATTCTCGGATTGGACGCCTTTTCCTCACCGTCGTCGGCCAACCGAAGCTAGCAAAATTGATCAGAAGCCTCACGATCACATACGAACCTGGCCATCGCGTGGACAGCCTTGCCAATGATGCCTATTACAAACGCTTCTGGAACGACATCACCACTGTGAGAGACACGATCGAAAACCTTAGCAAGGATATGGACAATGAGTTTATGCTGCGCTGGTTCGGTAGCGTCTACGCTGGTCAAGGCTTGTACGATGGCGCGCAAGCTGTGATCATTTGTCTAGCGACAAACTTAGAGCACTTAGAACTCGAACCGTGGTCAATTACAACAAGAGTTCTAAATCACGAATGGAGACTGAGCGACAACGACTAGACAACCCGTCCATTCTGCAACTTGAAGAATCTCAATGCACGCGGAAGGCTATACGGCACAGTACCTGTCTTCCCGTGGATGGAATCTTTGAGTATAGAACCCGAACTATGGTCAGTCAGGCACGGCAGCCTACCTATCCACTTGCCATACCGGAGCACTAGTTCGACCCTACGGGTCTTGGAGATCAGCAAAGTTGATGTTAGTCCAGCCGCCTTCGAACAGCTGCTTTCTTTACCAGAACTCAGTAATGTCAAAGAGCTGAAGATCAGCAAAGTGTTTGTTGGCTACGAGAGTTCATGGCCCAAGGACTACGATCTCCGACGCATTATCCAAGTTATTGAAGGTCATCTACTCAACCTAGAGGTTCTACACTGGTTTCAGCACGACTGGGAGAAAGAAAATACTTCCACGAGAACTTTCGGCAGCTTCAAGGGTCTTTCCAAACTGCGAGAACTGAAGATAGACGCCCAACTACTGGCAACTCATGATCATATTTACGATCCAGATGCAGAGGTGTTGGCTCTTACCCGCCCTGCTGAGTACCTACCCGACAGTCTTGAAGCTCTACACGTCTTGTGTTTGACCGCACATGATGCACGAATCGACTTGGCTCTTCAGCTAGCACGTACAATGAACCTTCGGAGTCTTGAGCTGTCGCTTAACTTGGAGGACTGGTATACTTATTGGCGTCGTGTCGCCGATGAAGGCGCTCACGAGTTACGCAAGAGCAGGAGAAAGTTCTTTCGCGACACTGTGGCGGATATGACTGCATCAGGCATAAAAATGCGTGTCTGGCGACAGGAGGGCATGTGCCCAGAGAAGATTCTCTTTGCTCCAGGATATCAGCGGCCATGGCCCATATGGGTCGACGCTGAGAAAAGATGCTGGAGTTACCGAGTTCTCGCTGCATGGGGGGCGAAGCAGTATAAGAGCCATCTTTCGAAGTCATATATCGCCCTTCGAGATGATGATGATGATGATGAATGGCAAGACTATGGGGGCGATAGCAGTAACCAGGGAGACAGCGATGTTGACGAGAGCGGGAACATTGCAGGCTAGGGTGAAGGGGAGAAGGGCGATGACGACAAGAAGGGCGATGGCAAGGAACTGAGCGACAACAGGGTTGAAGATATGGTAGCAGAAAAGGGTAGTGACGGACATGAAGGACGTTCAGAGTCTGGCGCGGCTAGGCAATAAGATACGCGTAATGAAGAGACCGTCACATAGAATCAACTCTTCACAACTCCAAGTTCGTCTTTATCATCATGCATTCTTTCTCTACATGCTATACATAACCAACAACAAACCCCCATCATCTCAACAAGCTATACCCAGAACATAAAGAAAAGACCTCAACCCTGCATCCCAATCCCCTACTCACAACCTAAAACCAACACTTTCCATACCCCTTATCGCACCCAAGCCCACACGCCCAAGGATCAATCGAGCACCTCCCACTCTGCTTGCAGCAGCAACCCATCTCAACACCAAACAGCGTCTTGTAGCCCGCGCACGTCTGGCCACCGTTGTGCTCACCACACTTTCCGTTCGAGGAGACAGGCAGCTTGGTAGGTGTGGGTGTGGCGGTGGTGGAGCAGGAAGTCGAGCTGGGGCGGACGATGGCGGTGGAGAAGGAGGAGGGGAGGACGGGAGTGGGTGTTATGGTGGAGGTGGGGTAGGGGGTGGAAGCGGCGCTGCTGGGAGTGATGGTGGAGCTAGAGGCGGGGGAGTAGGAAGAGGCGGAGGCGGCCGGGCTGCTAGATGGGACGGCCTCGGATTTTCCGGGGGTGGAGCTGGGGTAGGCGGAGGAGACTTCTGAGACGGCGGAGCTGGTGGGGTAGCTGTCCTTGGAGGCGGAAGCTGACTCGACAACGGAAGTGGAGGAAGCAGAGGCAGCGACGGAGGTGGAGTCGTGTTCCTCGGGCTTCTTAGATACGGGGGTTGAAGCCGATGCGGAGATGTACTTGGAGGCAGAGACGGATGCAGAGACGGATGCAGAGACGTACTCAGAGACCGAGGCAGAAGCCGATGAGGAAAGATGCTCAGAGACTGAGGCAGAAGCTGAAGCGGAAACGGACTCAGACACGGATGCAGAAGCCGAAGCAGATGCTGAGGCGGAAACGGAAGAAATAGCCTCGGAAGTGGGGATAGCCGCAGTCGAGGAAGCAGAGTCAGACTTCTCGCTAGCGCTGGAGACAGCAACAGAAGAAGAAGCAGACGAAGAAGAGGTCGAAGGGCAGTTGCCGTAGACAGGGTTGCAACCAGCACCGCAGTGGTCCTCAGAAGTACCGCAGTATCCCCAAGCAGAGCAGCACTCAGACTTTACACCCTCGAGAGTGCTGAATCCGACGCAGGTGTATCCCTTGGTTCCACCGCATGAGCCATCGCGCGACTTCTCACCTGAGGTGGTGGGAGTAGCAGAGGCCGCGGAAGAGACCTGGCTGGCGCTTGAGCTAGCATCGACGGTAGTGCTTGAAGCAGTCGAGGAGACAGCGTCCTTGCTGGCACTAACATCGGCGGAAGAAGAGGGAGCAGGGCTGGTGCTAGCAGCAACGGAAGAAGCGGCGCTGCTGATGGCCTGAGCACCACACTTTCCGAAACCAGCCTGGCATCCGGCGTCGCAGTAGATATCGGTGTTTCCACAGTATCCGTACTGTGAGCAGCACTCGCTCAGACCGGCAGGGCCGTTGAAGCCAATGCAAGTCATGCCACCGTTTGCCGCACCGCAAGATCCGTCGGTAGTGGTGGGACCGGTGGGGGTAGGGACAGGGCCAGTGACACTAGCAGAGACGGTAGCAGAGGCAGAGGGAGAGGCACTGGGCTGGGCACCGCACTTTCCGAAACCAGCTTGGCAGCCAGTCTGGCAATGGTCGGCGGTGTTGCCACAGTAGCCGTATTGAGAGCAGCACTCGCCAAGGAGACCGTCGACGCCAACCCAGCCAACGCAAGATTGAGAGCCACCGGCAGCACCGCACATACCGTCCTTGGAGGTGGGGCCGGTAGGAGTGGGGACAACAGAGGAAGAAGTACGGGTAGATGAGGTGCTGGGAGGAGCGGGAGTAGAGTCGCGGTACCAGTTCTCTTCGGGGTCCTGCATGCACTCGCCCATGGTGACAGCCCTGAGACCTTGGGAGTAGAGGTAGTCGAGCATGTATACAGTGAGGTTCTCGGCGGTCAACTGATGGATGTCGTGGCCAATGGCAAGCCTGTCGCCATCAAAGTATCCCTCGTTACGGGTATCAATGCCCTTCTTGAAGTTGTCCTTGGCGACCTGAATCTTCTCGGGGGTCAATTGGTTGTAGTCATCGGTATCGAGGTCGAAGTATGAGACGACGTAACCGAGATCGGCCATGACTTCCTGGCAGCTTCCAGTGCAAGAAGAGTACGGTGGGCGCATGTAGGTGGGGTATTTACCAATGATGTTGCGGATAGCCATCTCGTTCTTGACCATTTGGTCGTAAGCCTCCTCCTTGGTGATAGCACTCAGGTCCTGGTGGGACCATGTGTGAGAGGCGACCTGGTGGCCGTTGTCGTACATCTTCTTGATGACACCCGCCCAGTTCTCGTCAATGGCGCCCTTGCCGATGTTGTTACCGGTGATGAAGAAGGTGGCGTGGGCTCCTCGTGCCTCGAACAGCTTCATAACGCCCTCGGTGTAGATGTATGGACCATCGTCGTATGTGATTGCCACGGTTCCAGGGTTGTTGCAGACGTAGATGCCTTCTCCGCCGTAGGGGATGCTTCCAAGCTGGGGACGGGGGTCGTTACGGGTGCTTGCTCCAGCAGGAGTCTTATTAGCGTCTTTCAAACTATCAGTAACATGTTCATGGTACAGAGTATAGCATTCGTCATACCGCATGCAGGACCGAAGTTGAACAAGCAGTCGGGCGCTTGGCAGTGCTCCTGGGTAGTACCGCAGTATCCCTGTTCTACTGTAAGTACACGCTCAATACGCGAAGTGTCTCATCCAATATACGTACGGCGCTTGAGCAGCACTCGTTGTCCGCACACTTTTGGTTGCCACCATCCGGTCCGCAACGTCCGTCAGTGGACTGTCGGGGACGAATGACGGGTCCTGCCTCAGCAGCATGACCGCCTGAGTAACCAGCAAGAGGGTTGCTGGCCCTCAATTGCCTGGGCAAACCAACGATCCTTGGCATACCCTCCATGCCATGAGCGGCGACGAGCGGTGCTACCAAGGAGGCAGCAGCGACTTGGGAAAAACGCATCTTGGCGAATTAATGTTTACAGCACTAGTATAATAGTTGTAGTCGACTTCGGTTGTAAGAGTGAAAGCGAGTGTGGTTGACAGTGAAGCCAATTAAAATTAGTCGATAAGAAAAAACGAGTGACGGTCGCTATGCGTGCAAAGACGAGCAAGACGATTGAAGAGCATAAGGAGAAGAAGCCCGATGTACTTATATCACACAATGTCAAAGACGCACCTCCAAGGGCGACTCGTGGCGGCGTAGCTGCGAGGAGTGGAGCCCACTAACTGGAAGAAGTCAGCACACTATTATCAGCAGCCAAGAGCGCGGCCCTGGGAAACCTTCGTGGGATACGAAGAGGATGTGGAGACGGCATGGTACTGAGACGACTGCGAAGCCGCCTAGTATAAGCCACCACCAAATGCTACAATACGATCTCGCATTCGCAATGTGACGGTATGTCTTGGTAGCCGAGCAGATCTGGAGGCTTGACAGCTGCCAATTCCCAGAGACTTGTCAATCTCGAAGAGGCATGACAGAGCCTGCACCTGTCCTGTTCCTGACGAGGCCAAGCCATTAAACCGCTGGGGTCTAAATATATGAGCCGCGATGCTGGTTGTGACCGGCTCCCGTCGCGGATATACTGAAGTGGGATGATCGCCGGCGGGGCCCAACTCAACAATAGGCTAGAGGAGTACTTGGCATCACAAAAACATCGTGCTTTTCACGTTGTTGGCTTGATGTGGCGTTCAATGGCGTCTCGCGTAGGAATCAGAGGCCGTTTGGTTTCGGCTCTCTCGGTACGCGGCATCCATCAGAGAGCTTCGAAATTGGAGGGCTCTATTGAAGCCTTCGCTGCTGGTATGATCGGTGACCGTAGGATACTACTCGCAAATTCGATGCGATATCTGCACTGTCAGTCTGAAAGCACTTTAGTCGTAGTTCGTGCTGTCAGCGACGTCAGTGTTGTCAACGAACGGCCGTTGCGATACCTCGTGCCGTGGTATTGGGAATAAGCGACAGCGCACCAGTAACGGTACATCGTCATGCACGCCGTTCGTACGATGAGACTTCGAATCGCATTTCGTCCAGCCCTAAGACGAACGCCTGAACGCCAAGCTCAGGAGAGCAGGATTGGGAACGCCCCGGTGGTCGTCCGCTGGTCGCGATTCGATGCTAGGAGGCCCCTGAGGGCCTTCATTTCCACTGCCAAGCTCGAAGCGAGCGCTGGCGTCCGCTCTTGATAATCGATAATGCCGCGCGCGGCAACGAACCACCGGCAAACAAATCGCATGTGCAATGCGATGTAGAATGTTTGGAGAGCTCGCTAAGCCAACGTGACCAGCAAGTACAGTGTAGAGCAGCTAACTGTTTAACACAGATCTGCCGCTGCGAGGAAGCGGCTAAGCGGCTGCGCTGTTCACTTTAGCTCCACGGTAGTCACTTTGGATAGCTGCATCTCTTAGTTGCTCAGCTGTAGTGCGGCTAAGGCAGAAGCGCCACTAGAAAATCTTCAGCTGGTCCTTGTATACGATATTACGAAGAGGTGGAAATTGACGGCAAGGCCGAGTAAAAGTGGGTATCATTAACTTGAAGTACATGTCTGGATAAGAGGTAAAGTATCATGGCTCGCGATGCCGACGCGGAAGCAAAAGTATGTTGTGCTTGATCATTTCTTCACAATGCGCAAGAGAGGAGCAATCCTCGCACGTTTGCTCAGCCCGACACGGTATGGCACCTTGCCCGTATTGGCTGGCGATGCAGTTGTAGGTTTTATTTTCCGTTCTGGAGTCTCTGACGCCGCAGCTGGAGAGGGTTTCGCTGGTGGTTTTGAATGGCTGGCGGTCGTGG